TATCATCAGCAAACTTACTGAGGGTACATTCTATCACTTAGTCCAGGTCATTGACAAGCAAGTTCAATAACATTCAACCCATCCTCCTTATCCCTGGAGAATGAACTGACTACAGGCCTCCAATTGGATTCTAATCTGCTGATTATGACCCTCTGAGCTCTGCAATTCAGCGAGTTCTTGGTCCACCTCACTGTCCTTTCATCTAACCCACATTTCCTGAGCTTACCCAGAAGGATGTTATGAAAGACAGTGTCACAAGCCTTGCTGAAGTCAAGGTAGACAACATTCACTACTCTACCCTGGTCAACCCACCCTGCCAGACCATCACAGAGGGCTATCACATTGGTCATGCATGATCTTCCCTTGGTGAATCCATACTACCACTACTTCCAATGACCTTCTTTTCTTTTACACACAAGCTTGCAGTTCCTGCCAAAAAGCGGTGTGGAGAGTATTCCTCATGTGATTGACTATTGTGCCACAAATAAAAAAAAATTGCATTTAAATCCATGAGAAAAAAAATGAGGTAATTTTATCCATTTTTATTGGGGAAATGGTTCGGTAGCACTGAGAAACACATATGATTTAATAGAGTATTGCCTTTTAGAAATACATAATTTTAAAATTATGCCATTGACTCCAGTCTTATAGCTGAACTGTTATTTTTCTGTCTCAAGTTCACAAAGCACCTTGTCATGGAAAATAATACCGCATGCAAATACCCTATGAAAATATAATCATATTGTTTTAAAGAAAATCCTGCTTTCAGGCACTTTTCAGACATAAGAAAGAAGAAGCAATGATGTTTAGCATTATTTTTTTAAGAAGTTAGCTTCTGCTATGGCAACAGCATTGTATCAATGTGCACTAATTATTAAAGATTTAATTTAGAAAGGTAGAAAATAGCTGGTTTATTGGTGCCATGATATCCTACCTAACTGTTTCCTTACTCACTTAATTTCTTGGGTAGAATACTTTTCTTCATTTAAAAAAAAAAAAAAAGTGCCGGAAATTAAAAAAAAGAGAAATTGCTTTAAAGTTTAAGTTCATTTTGAAACTGAGGCATATGGGAAAATGCCACACTACTATTTTCATTCAGTCGGCTGCTCTGGAAGCCAGACGTACAGAACTGCATAGTGTACAGGAGAGAGGGATGGAGGAAAACGGTAAGGACAGCTTATGGCTTTCAGGGAGGATCTAACAGACAGATTTAAGTTTCCATCTTCTCTGATAAGAAGCAGTAACAAGAAAAGACTTTTTAAAGACCTTCAGAATAAGGATGCATCTTTTTTTCTGGGTCGTGAGGTGTGATAAGCATTTAAGATGCTGGGTAGACATCTAAGATTTTTAGAAGGATTCCAATTCTTCTTGTTTAAATTGCTCTTGCTGAAGCTTTTAGGTAAAATTAGTAGTGATATATGATAATCTCTCTTACTCTGAATGGTTTATTATGTGTTCTCACAGACAGCAATAATGCATATAGATATTGCCTTCATTCAGTGAAAGACAAGAAAAATGGGGCAAATATGTCATTTTGTGTAACTCAGCGCTCCTCCAAATTTTCAAAATACATTTCTCATATATTAAAAATACTTTTAAGAAGTTACACCCATGAATGTGTTGTATTGAAAACTGCCTTTCAGTTGCATACTTTATGTACAGTATGACTAATTTAAAATTACTGTAGTTCTGGAGGTATATTAAACATGTTTATATATGCCATTTCCCCATGTTGTCATTAGTAGGTTTCATAGCTCAGTTTCATTTCAATTTTCTTTGCTCATCAGTAAGGCAATACGTGAATAATGAGTGTTGTTTCATTTGCAAATTTATTTATAAACTCATCCACTTCTGATGGTAAATAGGTGAGTAAATGACTTAGCTTTGTTATAGCATCATGGAATAGTTTGGCTTGGAAGGGACCTTTAAAGATCATCTATTCTAACCTCCTTGCCAGGGATTCTCCTATGGAATGCAAGCACTGAAAATCAGTGCTATCCGCTGTAGGCTTGGAACCAGAAGAAATAACACATGGTTACATTGTGCAGATAATTTCCAATAGCCAGACACCAGACTTACCATTTTGGGAAACCTCCCCCACCTCTATCTCTCTTAATAAAGATATGTTATCAGAATCATCTTGGAATAGAGTAACAATATCTGTGCAATAAAATCTGCTTCTACCAATATCTGTTTCAGAGCTGTTACCTTTTCCACGGATGTAATTATAGTGTTCTTCCAGCTCGTTTTAGTCCATGCTGCATCCAGGCAACTTTCATAAAAATGTAGATACCTTTCCTTCTGCTCCTGCTCCAGTCTATTTCCTTTTTTTGGTTTATATATACATATATGTATGTGTATGTGTGTGTTTGTATATATTTTTTTTTTTAATCAAGGGTAAGTTTGAGTTGGTTAATTCTCAAAGTTACTGTTCAAAATAACACCTTCTGCACAGGGGAAGGTCTGCTGTCTCTGCTGTCTGAAGACTTCAGGTCAAGTTGTGGTGGGTTGATCCTGGCTGGGCACCAGACGCCCACCAAAGCTGCTCTATGCCTGCCCTCCTCATCTGGACAGGGGAGAGAAAGTAGAATGAAAGGCTCGTGGGTTGAGATAAGGACAATGAGAGATTACTAACTAGGCATAAGAAACTTGACTTGGAGAAGATTAATTTATTTCCAAGAAATAACAGAGTAAGGTAGTGAGAGATGAAACTAAATATAAATCTAAATCACCTTCCCCCCACCCCTTCCTTCTTTCAACTTTAGTCACAAATTCTTTACCTTCTCCCAGCCAGTAGTGCAGGGGGACAAAGAATGGAGGCTGTGGTCAGTTTGTCGCACAATGTCTGCCACTCCTTCCTCCTCAGGTGAGGACTGCTCACACTCTTTCCCTGCTCCAGCATGGAGTCCCTCTCATGGGAGACAGTCCTCCATGAACTTCTCCTAGGTGAGTCGTTCCCAGGGGCTGTAGTTCTTCACAAACTGTTCCAGCATGGTCCCTCCCACAGGGAGGGAAGTGATCTCATGGGACACAAGTCCTGCCAACAAACCTGCTCTAGTGTGGGCTCCTCTCTCCATGGGTCCCCAGGTCCTGCCAGGAGCCTGCTCCAGCATGGACTTCCTGCAAGGTCTCAGCCTCCTTTGGGCACATCCACCTGTTCCCATGAAGTATCCTCCATGGGATTGCAGGTTGATATCTGTGGACATCCACAGGCTTCAGGGACACAGCTGACTCACCATGATCTGCACCGCGGGTTACAGGGGAATCTTGGCTCCGATGCCTGGAGCACCTCTTCCCCCTCCTTCTGCCCTGACCTCGGTGCAGAGCTGTGACTCTCACATGTTGTCTCTTCTCTCTCCAGCTGCAGTTACACAAGCTTTTTTCCTCTTAACTGTGTTATTCTAGAGGTTCTACCACTGTTGCTGATTGGCTTGGCCTTGGCCAGCAGGTCCATCTTGGAGCCAGACAGCATTGGCTCTCTCAAAATGGGGGAAAGGTCTGGCAACTCCTCACAGAGGCCACCTCTGCAGCCCTGTAGCCTACCAAAACCTTGCCACATAAATCCAATACATTAGTTCAGACTCTGGAAATTCTGTGGTCGATGTGGTGCATTTGAAGAGTAACATGTTGGACTTATTTTATGGTCACTCTTAGACTAAGTAGTAATCTTGGATTCACTTAATATGTTTTATCTGAGACTTTTGAGTTAAAATGTCCCATTTTTCCTAAAGCAAGCCCACAAAAGTACCTGTTTAGCTCTCTATAAACAACGCAGATTTCTGCCCCTTTGGTGTTTAATAAACCCTTTGCTTTTGTTTTAGCTGTATAATCCAGAACCGTGCAAAATATTATTTGTTTTAATTAAACTTTCACAGTAAATGATCATCTGAATATTAATAGAAATCCCCCATACTTTCTGCAATATCTGAGGCAAGTTGCAATTTTGGCTTAGTTTAGTGTAAATTAAATGCATGACATGATTACAGATCCCACCTTTGTGTAGCATAGGTACAAGCAGATGTGACATTGACTGACATCCTGCTGCTCAGTAGCTTCTTCTTCCCTGAATCACTGTTTGGTGTGTATGTTTGTATTGCCACTCAAGGTTAAAACACAAGTCTTTGAAACCTCTGCCTCTGACTTTGCTTTAGATGAGAAATACACGGATGGAGCCCACGTTTCGGCAGTCACTGTGGTAGCGATGGTACTATGCCTGATGAAATGCATTATAGCCTTTCTGGTATACTGCCATAGACCAGCGAGCTTCTTTTATTTAGTTTTTTTTCTTCTAATTTAATATCCCAATTGGAAGGAGCATTACTTTCCATGCAGCCTTCTGAGCATCATTTTATAATGAAGTTTCATCACAGTGGGTATTATTATATGAGGCTTTAAGATTTTTCTCCTACTCCCTCCCCAGCCCTTAGAGTCACTGGCCTATATTTTTTGAAATATCTGGGGACATGAGTAGTCTCAGTTTTGGAGTGAGGTTTGAGGTCCATTGAATAGACTTGATTTTTCAGAAGACCAATTCTTTTTGCTTATCTAATAATTGACTTTGCCATTAAAAAACCTAAGAAATTAAGAAATACAAAATAAAAGTATTTCCAGCATAAACACAAACTCTTTTCTCTGTGTTTCATTCATTTTCCATTTATTTACAGAGTGCAATAGAGGGGTTATGGGTGAGAGTAGTCTGGGGTGGTTGGTGTAGGAAATAAGGAGATAACTAGATTGTATGTTGGTCAGTTTTGTTTTATTCCTAAACCTGTGAGAACTCATTGCCAATTGCACATACCCCTAGCATATTCCTGAACATGCACATGGCTTTTTCCCAGTCGTGGTTCTCTAGCTATTTATGGGATAGAGAGGTGTAAGATGTGCAGTCCTTGTTTTTGAATATTGAGGACAGGTTTTTAATAACCTTTCAGAAAAAGCTTCCTTGGTGACTTTTAAAAGAGTGGTAGTGCTAGTTAATAAGTATTTTTTTGTTGTTCCAGGTGGGAAAACTGAGAGAAAAAATCCAAGAGGTTAAACAGGAAAGGGAGCAGGAGCAGCACAAGCACACCGCCTATGTTTCTGAGCTGAAAGCCAAGCTCCACGAGGAGAAAATGAAAGAGCTTCAGAGTGTCAGAGAACTACTGATCCGGCAGCACGAGCAGGAGGTGGCAAGAATGGTGAAAATCAAAGATGGTGAAATTCAGCGTTTGCAGTCAACAGTCAATGTCCTGCGGGACGGGGCGGCTGACAAAGTGAAGACGGCGCTGCTGAGCGAAGCAAAGGAGGAGGCTCGCAAGGCGTTCGACGGTGAACGAATGAAGTTGCAACAAGAGATCTTGGAGCTGAAATCTGGCAAAAAGCAGCTCGAGGAAGCTTTGAACAACATTATGCAGGCGGATAAAATGAAGGCTGCGGACCTGCGCACGGCTTATCAGTCTCACCAGGATGAGATCCACAGAATAAAGCGGGAATGTGAGAGAGAGATCCGCAGGCTGGTAAGTTCATTAAGGAATGCTGTTTATTTCAGTTTATAGCAGGTATTAGTATATGGCTATATGTGGCCATAAATACCAAAGCAGTCTTTGGCAGTAACATCTTTCATTAGTGCTGATTGATACAATGGGCCACCATTTCCACTACTTTTTCCTCCTTAGAGCAAAAATGAACCTTGACTCTATGTCTTACCCAACGCAGTCCAAAGCTTTATGTCCCACCAAATGGAAATGAGCCAACCAATTCTTTCCAGGATGAATTTTCTCAACAGATTAAAGAGAGAGATTTTCCCTTTCCTACTTGCTCAACTGTGCTCCCAGTGACCCCAACAAGTCAGGCATTGCTCATTTGACAATGCAAGAACACCTCTGTGAGATGGCAAAACTAACTCCTCATAGAGCTTTTATATTTAAATTGGAGGAACTAATTGAGCCAAAACAAGGCAGTGTCTTTGCTTCTTCTGCATCTTTATCCAGGTCATTCAATTTTAATAATTGTTGCCCTTTTTTAAGTTTCAAATTTTCTGAGTTTTTTCTATAGCAGCAGAAAAGTTAGGGCCTGGGACAGCAGGCTTTTTTTTCACACTTCATAAACCCTAGGACTTCAGCACAGATGGCAGACTATGCTGTTTGTATAACATGGAAAACCAGGCAACATTTCCTGACAGTGGGTGCCCCAAATATTTCAAATTATTCAGTTTTGTAAAATGTAAAGAATCTAAGACGTGCTGTACACAGTAGTGCATTTAGGGACGTCCTAATCAAATGATACTTCTGTTTGGTACCATGATATTTTCCATATGTATGTATATATCTAATCATTAATCTGCACAAACTAGCAGTACAATAGCTATGCAAATAAAATCTAAAATTGTAATAAGCATAATATTTATCTTATGTCAAGAAATACAGACTTGAAATAGAATGAAACATCAGTTTCCTTAAGAAAATATATTGTCAGTTTGTATTTGCACAGATATGACCTCCTATTTCTTGTATTCCTTAGGAAAAATTATGGTGAGGGCAAGCTACAAACATGTAATATCAGTTTAATGGTGGTGATTTTCTGTCTGAGACAATGAAAGCTTTTAATGCAATTAATATTTATGCTTTAAATGAATTAGATTTTGATCAAGTCTCACGGGTATTATTTCCTTCATTAATTAAAGACCACTGCAAAGACTGACAATGTGGAGTTTCTGCAAACATAGTTTCTTTCATATTTTGTTCTATATTATAATGTAGGATTCTAAAATCATGACTATGAAGTACAGGCAATTTTAAAAAGTGTTAATGAGGAGAGAAAGTTGGTACATTCTGGTATGTGTTTTTCTGAAGAAAATTTTCTAAATGAATTTAACCTTCTCAAAGAGGGTTTTCTCAGTAAGAAATGGTGAGGTAAGGCACATAGCAGTGTACCCCAAATTCTATCATGCCAAATTGCCCCAGTAAACACACCTTTGCCATGCCTTTGAGTGCTATTTTAAAGGAAACACCTAATTCTTCTTCTTCAAGAGTAAAATCTTTCAGACTTTGCAGTGTAAGATTGATGAAGAAGGGTACTCTGTTTTCTGTGTAGCACAAAAAAATCCTGTCAAGTCATTCAGAATTTTAATTGGAGCCTTACAGGGCCTCTGTTTTTCAGTACATCTAAAAAGGTGAATGTGTTGGAGTAGTGTGTAGAATACTGTGGTTTCCTATTCCCAGCACCAGAGGAAGCCTGATGTTGGTCCCAGGGGCTTTCATGGGAAATATTCATATCTTCCTTCAGGAGTCTGGTGCTGCCTTGTAGTGCCTCAACTCCTTTCATATAATGAATTTCAATTTTTGCATTAAATTGTATGATTTGGTTTATTTTTTTTGAGAAGTGTTTCTTCTAGGTAGCAATTTAGGCAGTTGTTATTGTGTAGGGCAGTCTTTAAATCTGGGGCGAGGTAAAAAAAATTGCAGGGTTCCTGGATGCTGCTCTGTTCCTTTGAGAGAGCAAGTGGGATTATAGAATCTGATCATCAGGATATTTCCCTCTCTCCTTTCCCTTCCATTTTAATTAGTTCAAGGGATGCTTGCCTTCAATTTCAATTTAACCCTGTCAGGTCTGGATTTGGGGTTCTCAGTTGGTTCCTACTCTAGTGGGATGAAATGGCAAGGATGTGACAGTCAGTGTCATTAATATTAGCACAGTTCTGTAACTGAGCTTCAATTAATGTGCTCTTTGGTATGTCTGTAGTGTGTTATGGCACTATTAAGAAACCAGCATCTTTGAGATTAACAGCCTAAATGGGCTGGTCATACTGTAATTCAAATTCAAATAGAGTAATTCAGGATGCAGTCTGATTGTCTTGTCAGACGTGGCTGCTTTATTTTGCATTTCAGATCACAAGTTACTTTTGCAAATGTATTTCTTATAGATAATGCAACTGGAAAAAAAAATCAGTATTTTTGCCATTAATTGAAATACCCATGACTAATTTGAATAAAATCTTGCAATTCTTGGCTGTTATCAAAAAATAAGTATTGAGAAAGGAAAATAACAAAATCCATTGTCTATGCATGTATGGATACAATTGTATTGAGTACATGAACTGGTATGCTATTATTGTACAAATGTCAGTATTTTAGAAATATGATTAATCAATTATGAGATTGTCTTCATAGTTTTGAATTGAGCAATGAAAAATACCCAATAAATCTCAATAGACACAAGACTGAATGGGGAATAATAGGGGAAAGGAAAATAGCTATTTGTCAAAAAATAATAACCGCTTTTTCTCTGTGCAGTATGAAACTATATTGGAATTTGTCAGTTCCTGCAGCTGGCAATATAGCAGTGATATAAATGTTTTCATTAATTTAAGAAATTCTAATTGATGTGGATTTTATTCCCCCACCCCCCAAGAAAATATATTCTCATTTGTATATATGCATAAACACAATGTGTTGTCAGCTAAGAAGCCAGAAATATAAATAGCTAGCAACAAACTGGAGAAACAAATGAAATAGATGTCTTAAAAATAAAGAGAGATCTTGGGAAATCAGAAAAGAAAGCAAGAACAGATATTACTTTATTTTTTCAGCCCATATTTTGAGTTTGAACAGTTGTATTGTTCTATAGAATGAAAACTATGTTGATACAGATTCAGATACTTATAAATAGAATTAACATTAAAAAACAGCAAATGAAAGTAAAGGAAAAAATCAGAAATAGCAAACTGAAAAATAATCTGCATGAAGGAAAAATGTTAAAACCTGTTTTTATGGATCAGTTTTTTTTTTTTTAAAAGGTATACAAAATCATAGTTGAATTTTTTGTTCATGTAGTTTCAATATCAACAGACTCAAAGCATACATCCCACTGAGGGCTGCATATGCAAACATGTACATACCTAAATAACACTGTGTCAACAGCCTTCTCTTTTAATGACATCCTTGTAATAGGTATGTCTGCTTCCCTTCTGAGGTCTGGTCTAAGGTAAGTTTACTATAGACCTGATTAATGGTCACAAAAAGTTGAGTTTATTAAGTTGTGTTTACAAAGTAGGTTGAAGAGCAGAACTGTGCTACCAAGGCATTTAATGTTTTAATTTAAATTTAGAAAAGTATGCAAAATAACAGTTTATTTCAGCCAGTTTTTCCTAGGCCTTGATTAAGCTTGTCATTTAACTGACTTACTTGGTTTTGATGTCAGGAGTAAAGTTAGTTTTCAGGGGTGAGTAAAGTCTCTCTCTTTTGCCTGACATTGTTGAAATAGCATGTTCACATTGTTGGAAACGGACCAACCTTACTCTGTTATCAGCACAGCTGGGAAGGAAGGCGTGGCTATTAACTGTATCATATTAGTTAGAGGTTACATTTATTCTGGGACTACTGGCACACTATTTTTAAGAAGGCCCTTACTTTGCAAGGCATATTTTCCTAGGTACTGTTTTTGCAGAGATAAGAATAATGGACATTTTACAGAGCTTGCCTTGGAAAATACATGCAAAAGCCCAGTCATTGAATTATGGCATCACTGATCTACTCGTTTATAGTATTTCCTGAATAAGAAAGAAACTGAATGTTTATTTTGTGAACACTGTTAATATAAACATAATATTTAAACTTTGGAATAATTAGATGACACTTACATCCTGCATTTTGTGGTGTATGGTTTTAGTACATATTATTTCTTCTATTAGAAATGTCTTTAACATCAAAACTATGCAACAGCTAAATACCATTTTCAACAGCTAAATACCATTGTGCACTGTTAAAATCTTTACACATGCAGTCTTCCTAAATATTCTTAAACATCTTATCTTGAAATTAATTGAAAGACTTATCTCACTTCAATGTAAAATAGTCCCAGTTTTCTTAACCGCAGAATCATTATAAAGGATTCCACTGGTCTTATTACATGCACAATAAGGTCCTTGTTTAAGAGAGCACACAGTACACCAGATGAATTAAATTTACATATTTCAATTGTATTTTCAAATAGCCTCATAAAAATTGTCTGAAGGGTAATGTGACAGTACTGCAGATTCATAGTTGCAAGGCAAAAAATCCTTTTGCTGTTAATAGAATCAAAGTAAAAGAAATTGTTTTCACTAGTGATTTTCAGAAGTTCCTGCTCAGCCGTGATTTATGGAGACAGATGCACTATTTAAGTATCCTTAGTCTCCTTAGTCCAAATTATCTTGCTGCATAAATTAAAAACTCCTTCCAATGTGAAATCTTTCTTCTGTTTGGTGTTTGCCAAATATATATATAATGCAGTACATGGAAAAATATGATTCAAACTAATAGATTAAGCAGTTTTTAAAGATAGAAATCAACACAGTTTGACTGAAAATTCAAGGGAAAAAACCCCTTATGGAATAAGCTTATATACCATTTATATTGATATTTTTAAATATTATAATTTCAGTTTTGTGTATGTATAACCCTTCATCTCATGATTTAAATGAAAGCTTCTGAAAGACTGAGGGTAACATCTTTTCAGAATTAAGGATTAGCTATTCCCA